ATTTTAGTAACTGCAGGAACTGAACTGTAAAGGCCTCCGTACAAACACATTAATGATAACCAGATCACTTTATGGAGCTGAATTATTCAAAATAATTGTGCAATCACACCGATGCATGAAATTATAAAACTGGTGAACAGACAGGAAGGTAGAATTGCTCAGTCAATAGCGTTTAACTCACTAACTCAGCTGATGAAAATGAACTGCGGATTCTGGTCACAAATAGAAACTCCTACTATTCAGTCGCCAAGAGTGTTGTGCATACACAATAACAAAGAAGTTCCGAACTGTAAGATTTTCAATGGTCTCTCGAAATAATCCTTCTCCATGATAAAATATCCCTTTGTAGTGTTTTTAAATCACTCAGTCTTTATACTGACTGATGTATGCTGAAGGACGACCTACATATAATGACAAATGTCACGCATTCAAAGATTAGAAGAACCGGAATTATGCATACAAAAAAAAATTATTAAGGCACTTCTAATAGCATGGAAATAACTCTGTTGATTTGACTTAACTTTTGCTGGTATGCTTCCCCTTTTCTAACTACTTAAAACTCTACTATTCCCTTAAAACTCTTGCGTGACTTCGTACTTTATTTTGTTTTCATGTACACCTTAAGTACAACTGTTTCATCAAACTATTCATGTGATTACGTAACTCTTTTCTAACAGTCGTGACAACTGTGACAACTCATCACTTTTGTTACTACCCTCTTATATCAACATACAGTTCCTATGAAGGCTTTTTGTATCATGTAACTCCACCAAAAAACTTACTGATTGTATTTTCGGTTGATAAATTTGATGTACACACACATATACAAAATAACCATACATATATATATGTATATATATATATATTTGCGATTGTACAGCTGTGAAAATGAATTCGCCGCCGAAAAGAGACTCTTCGCTTAACTAATAGTTCTCTCTATATTGATGTTCGAATGGAGATTCTTCATAAACATTGAAAGATTGGTAACATTACGCACAAGGTATAGGCAAGAGTAAAGAATAGACACCAGATAAAAACGACCTTGAAACAACCAATCAGGTCGTTCGACATTCAAAATGGATGCGGTTCATGAACTTCACTGCAAGTTTCACCCAGATTTAGTCTTTGACTTCTGTGTGGAAAATGGGTCGATAAGGTGGTATAAAACCTGCATATGTGGGAGGGATAATGACGCTAAAAAAGGGTATTGCGAGGCTATTGACGGCTACGCATTCATGAGGAAATCTGTGCGAGTTGGTAAGTCGTACATTAATGGTAGTTTTTTAGATACTTTCTTCTCTAAATCAAAATTGTCGCTTAATAAAATACTGCGTATATGCCACAAATGGCTACTAAAGCGACCAATATCTGCTACAGCTGCAGAAACGCAGAATACAAAGATTTCAACAGTGCAGTGGTATCAGTACTGCCGTGATGTTGCCTCAGAAAAGATGTATGGGATCACCTCTGTACTCGGGGGAGTTGGCGTCATAGTGCATTTGACGAAACTGTACTTAATAAGCGAAAAGTGAATTGTGACAGGAGTAGAGCAGATCAGGTTTGGATGCTGGGACTGTACGACACAAATCTTCGTAAAGGCTTTATGGAACGCATCCCAAACAGAAGTGCTGATGTGTTAGCACCAATTATACAACGACTAGTCCTCCCAGGAACTACTATTCACACAGACGAATGGAGAGGTTATTATCAATTGTCATCACTAGGCAATATTTACCACAAAATCAATCATTCTTCTGAACTGGTGGGTCCTGTAACAGGAACACATTCTTTTTTATTATAGCTTGATTCCACACAGTATTTTGGTACAAGTATGAAATTTTCAGCGTGTGATATCGGTAGCCCAAATTTACTAGGCCGACCATAGATATCAGTTGTGCGTCGGTGGGGGATCGAACCTCGGACCACGTGCATGGTCGGCGAGAGTCCTAACCACTGTGCCACCGACGCACATGCAAATTCCACTGAAGGATTTTGGGCTTACCTTAAAAAACGTATCAGAATGGCAAACGGTTCCCGATGTGATATGGTATATAGCCATTTAGATGAGTTTTTGTATCGACATTGGTTTAATATGTCTATAACCACTCCTATGAGAAACTGGGAGCAGTTTTTGCAGAATATTAGACACATATATCCTGTATAATCCATTTTTATTAAATATATATGTTATAAATACAGTTTTTTTCAATTATTTTTATGCCACTCTTTAACTGAAAGAATCTGATTGGTTGTTTCAAGGTCATTTTCTTTGGTGTCTATTCTTTACTGCAGCCCAGGGTATATATCATCGAATAACAATCCTAACATAATATTAAATAAGCCTCATTATTATTCCACTGTTTTCTGTCAACAGCACGTTTCCACTTCGATCTGTTTATCTGACTGGACGATTGTCCATAAACCTTCATTTCCGCCTCACACAATTTCCTCCAAGTCAATCTTGGTCTAGGTCGTCGTTTCCCATTCGGGTTCCACTGAGACAATGGCCTGCCACGAGATATCCTTCAGCGATCTCCTTGGTGTGTGTATGTTTGTGTTGAGCTCGTTCGTTGGTAGAATTCCCTATGGCTAATCCTCTCTCTGGTTAGACATCTGAGGCAGCGAATTCAGATGTTGATTTTTAATCTTGAAACGCGAAATAATTGAGCAAAGAATATTCTTTTCGATAAATTCCACTTTTGGCTCTACAGTTATATATATATACATGTTTATATACATAGAATATTCTAGATTAGTAGTCAATAACAATATTCGTATCTTTTAAATAAAATCGATGTGTAAAGTAAGATCACAATGGAATTACTACAGTTCATTAAAGTTGCATAAATTATTATTATAATAATAATAAAGATATAGTAGCAAATAGAATATCAACTAAAATTAGGAAAATTTATACAAAAATTGAGGATCATTCAAATCTAGATGACTAAGGTAAGGACAATGTCTGAACTAACTTCTTTCGGACTCACAAATTAAGCTTGTTAATATGGATCCCAACAACCATCTCAGCAGTATTTAGTAGTCGAACTCTTAAGGTGTAATTGAGATTTGTTGGTATGCGGCAAATGACCCTGAAATTATTATTATTGTTTCCTTTAATTCCTAGAGGAACATAGGGCTTCAGCCGTGCGTCTTCATTGCATTCGGTTCTCTGCTAGAGTCTTCACCTGGCTCCATGTCTGCCCACACGTTTTCATCTCCTCTTCACATGACCTCATCCAAGTCACCCTTGCACTGACGACCAACTCACCGCTTCCATTTCGGGTTCCACTCGAGCAATGGCTTGTCTAGTGATGTCACTTGATGGTTCTCTCAGAGTATGGCCAGCCAATCCATCTCAATTTCTTCCTACCTATTTGTTGCACAATCGGTTCCTGGTTGGTTCGCTCATTGCCAGAGATCTCTTTTGCTGATCTTTTCTGACCGGCCATCTGATCTTGAGTATTGAGTGAAGACAACTGTAATGAAGGTCTGTAGTTTGTTTGAGATGCTCTTTATGACGCACTGGCCAAGTCTCTGATCGACGCTGTCGAAGGCCTTTTCAAAGTCGATGAAGTTGAGATAGAGAGGTGACTGCCATTCCAAGCTCTGTTCAATGATGATCCGTAATGTGGCGATCTGGTCAATGCATGACTTGTTTCTCCTGAATCCAGCCTGTTCCGGTCGAAGTTTTTCATCCATGGCTTGTTTGATTCTCTCCAGGATGATACGGCTTAGTATTTTGCTTGGGATGGACAGGAGCATAATTCCGCGCCAGTTCTTGGATTGACCTAAGTCTCAATTCTTTGGTGGTTTGAATAAGTATCCTTTCTTCCAATCCTCGGGTACCTTGGCCTCTTTCCACACCTTCTTCAGTAGTGGCGTCATCAAGTCCGCTGTTGTCTCTGGATCCATTTTCAATGCTTCTGCTGGGATTCCACCTGGTCATGCTGCTTTTACAGCTCTAAACATCTTGATCCCCTTCAGGATCCTGAAAGCTGCCTCGTTAACATCAATCTTGCGTTCCGTATCCACAAGATGAGATAGAATAGCGCTACGAATAGATTTTGTTTGTTCGGAAATTCGACGAGAAACATGCCTAATTGTACGGCCTATGCAACTAACTGGCTCAATCCACAGGAGCAGTTAAATTAGTAGATACACATAGAAGAGGCGAAATTAGGCAGTTTGTCTTTTACTCCCGAACGCAAAATAAGGGGATGATGGTTTTGAAGACACAGCGCAATTCAGCAGCAGGAAATGCTCTTCGCTTTACCGCATTTCTAAGACACTGTGTTAGTATCTCGCTTATGTTGTCCCCAAGGAACTGCATTTGTAAGAATAAGGCCTTCCTTTTTTGGAACTGTTGGCACTTTAGGTTGCTTTGATTTTAGATTCATATTCCTATCAATAAACTTTTCTTCAGTCTGTCCTAAAGGCTTTTGGTGATGCTAATAATTAAGCATTGTGATAAGTCAGTATAGTTTATCTACTTACTGTACAGCCTGTTAATTTCAAATTCTACAGATCGATAAATTCTAATATATTCAACTAAACTATTACTTACTCAATTATGTGGAATAATAATAATAAAGAGGTTTAATCACTCTAATTATAACAGTTTATGAATATTCATCCAAATACGTTTTTTATGAAACACTATGTAAATCAATGCTATTAGCTCATCTTTCATTATGTTGAATGAAAAACCTCCTTGTTATTATAAGCATCCGACAAAAACGCCACTTTTCACACGAACCACAACTTGGCTGATGAATACTGACGATGATATCGATGATGATGCCGATGATGCTGATGGTGATGGCGATGATGAGAAGGAAGATAATGTCAGGGGAGAAAGAAGCTCTGGCAGAACTGGCGGTGTTAGTAGTAGTAGTAGTAGCAGCAGCAGTGACAGTAAGGAAACGTCTCCGAACTGGAAAACAAAACACAACCACAAAGAGAATCTTAAGAGTCGAACAGTGAATTCAGTCAAATCAATGTCAAAACTACCACATACTCCTCTAAAGAAGAATGAACAGTACTCACACTTGTGTAATTATCAACATTTGAAAAGACAAAAAGACAAAATCCCCTTCTCATCAAAAGATCATTTATCCCAAGGGAGATACACCGCACTTCAGTCAATCCTCTTAGGATCCCAGATCTCATGTATAGCATTGAATCGACCAGGACTGTCTCGGTCGTATAGTACAAGTGCACTGCATGATTATAGGCGTATCGAAGAAAGCCTTTTTGGTCAAGCATTACAAAGACTACCAAAGCATTCTGAAATTTCTTATCAACTATCAAATGAGAAATCGAGGAAATACTCCTGTGAAGGAAAGCCTGAAAAGTACTTGTCTTCAAAGCCTTCACTGATCAGTAGTAGAATAAAGAATTCTCAATGTCCTATTGGTAGACATTTATCCTTTATTGAACCATCCAACTCAGAATTAATATTAATCCGGCGAAATGGTCTACACCAAACATATATTGTCTACCAGTTTGACAAACATTCGTTGAATCCAATTGGAATATTTCCAGTCCATGAAGATACACCGCGACGATGTGCTTGTTATCCTCCGAAGGAGAATCAAGCCTTCATTACAACAGATTCTTTATATCCTTATTGTTCATACAATCATTTTCTAGACCGTTCATCTGGAATGCATGATACAAATCAACAATCGTCTACTTGTCGTTCATTTCAACAGATCCCAACAGATGATAATGATGATGATAATGATGAAAAATCATTGATCAGCAAGATCAGTATGAAACGAGATCATCGTCGCCAAAGTAAAAAACGACATGATCAGTTGTACGGCGATTGTGATGAGACAGTCAACCCGCCGAATAAAGTGATTACTCATCATAATAAAATTATACAAACTGACAGCTGCTTACAACAAGCAAGACATAAACAAAAAGGCGTACAAACTGATCTCACTTATTGTGTTCGATCTGTCTACGGTGGAGCGATCAAGGTGTATAATCATCCACCGAATTCCAGTACAAAATTAGAGTATTATCGACAGACGAGTAAGAAAACCCTGGCATTAGTGAAGAAGGGTAACTTACGGAAGAGAAGACCAACGACAATAACAACAACAGCAGCAACAAGAGAGAGACATGGAAAATTCCATAAACCAACAAAATATTTTTCAGTAAGTCCAATGAGAAAGTATTATCATTTGATGAATGGAAAGACAAAACACTATCGGATGAATAAATTTTCGGATAGATAATGTCGAGAAGAGTCTTCTGGAAGGTGTTCAGTTGGCTTTCGTTTTATGTCGTCTGCTAAATTTTATTTTATTATATTCTGTTTACTCCGAATCGTATGTCACATACACGCCTGTTTCGTTAATTTATTTATTGGCTAGAAGATGTGAATGTGTGTCGTCTATTGAAGATGAAAACCTGTTCTCATCAATACTGAATTCGTTTTTTCTTATTTTCTGTAATAAAAATTTCCCTCTAAATAAAAAAACATCAGTTTTTCTGCTTCAAATGACCGTCATATAGTATTATTATCATTATTATTATTCCAAGTGGAACATAGTGCTTCAACAATACACCTACATTTTATTCTATTCGCTGCTGTCCTCTTCGCCTCCTCCTCCTACAACTCACACCATTTCCTCCATGGCACTCTTGCACTGACGACTCACGCTTCGCTTCCCATTGGGATTCCACTCAAGCATAATGGTCTACATTGAGCGCGATGTCATCCGACGACCTCCTTAGTTGCGTATACCCAATCAATTCATCTCCATTCTCCCCTACATATCGGTTGGGCAATCGCCTCTTGCTTGCTGGTTCTTTTTTACCAGTCAGAGTTTTTTGTTGCTAATTCTTTCTAGATGGCCATTATGGAACCAATGGGAAGAGCAACTGTTGATAAAAGTCTGCTCTAGCCTGTTGGAAATGTTTTCGTGACTCATGCGTAGTTCAAGTTTCTGACCAGTAAAGAAGTAGTGACTGACTGACTGACTGACTTCACATTTTGTTGAAGAGAATTCTAATGTTGTCCTTTATGCTGGCTGAGTGAGTGAAGCAGGAGATTTCCACACCCGTCCCAGATTGGTCAATGCTTATCTTGCTTTTCCAATTCTGACTGGCCGGTTTTGACATATTCATTCGTAGTATCCGTCTGTAGTTGAAACCGTGCTTCCTGGCTAATTAAGTGAAGGAAATTACCTCAGTTAAATCTCTCCCATTGATGGTGATTGGTGCTGGTTGTTGTTGTTGCTGTTGGTTGGTTGATTGGTTGGTTCGTCTTCATCTTCATCACCTACACCTTCTCTGTGTTCACCTGGAATCCTGTCTTCACTGCTTGCTTGCCTCGTCTCTTCAGACAGTTTGTTGGTTTTGGTCTCTTAGTAAGTCTTCGAGATTGCGTGTGTGATATCAGACATAAATCATCCACACGCGAAATCCAGATCTTCTAGAGTCTTCTTATCGAATAGTCCAGCGTATTCCTGTCTTCTCTATCATTGTGCACAGTCTTACACATAATCCAGTCTTCAACAACTAAGAATATCATCGTGGGTGATAATAGGTAGACAGCTTTGTCTTACTGCTGTCGTCTTTACATCGAATGCCTCTTTGATTTGACCCGTAGCATTGTCATATGGCCAGCTGTTGAGTGAGGTTGATAAAGATTTGGGCACTCCACGCCGTAGTGCTAAAGTAGTTCGCAAATTAATTCTCGATCAACAGTGTTTGTTGAAAGCCTTTTCGAAGTCAATGAAGTTGAGGTGGAGTGTAGTTTGACTGCTACTGTATACTTTGTTCTATGTTGATGACGATGCGTAGAGTAGCAATTTGGTCGGCTTATGATTCGTCTTTACTGAATCACAAGACCGTCATGAAGTAATCAACTACACATGTGTCTGAACCACTAGTTGAGTTCATTCAAATACAGAGACAGATTTAAACAATATTCATACTCTTTAGAGGTGATTAGACTGAACTTCATCACTGCGATATTACGATTATGGTTCCCTTGGTTTCTAAGCGGAACATAGGGCTTCAACAGTACATTTCCACTTTGTCATGTTTTCTGATTTCCTCTGCAGCTGGTTAGCTCCACAATTGCTCAGAGACTCTCATCTCCTCCTATAATGTCATCCTCGGACAAATACCCCACTCGTCAATTCCTACTGGACATCCAATCGAACGATACCCTGTATTGCACCCGATATCGTTCAAAGATCTCAACGTGTATGTCCGATTCGCCTCCATCTTCTCCTCACTACTTACTGAGCAATAGGCTCTCAGTTGGTTTATACCCAGAGTTTCTTGTTATTAATTCCTTCTGACCAACCATCTGATATTCAATATGGAGATTGTGATAGATGGAGTATCATTCTGGTATGATGATGAGTAGTAAATTGTGCCTGTTATGTCATCCAGTAAACACAACTCTAACTGAATAACAACCGGACTCCTCGGCATCTTCGATAAATACTCTGCAATGTCGAATTCTGGGCCACTGATTATTTTCAAGTCATATTGCGAACTGACACCGGTTAGAGAAGAATACAGAGTTCATGGATAGCTGTTTATTTCTATTATTCTAGTCGGTCAATCAAATCCCCGTAATCAAACACTCAAAAATTTGAAAGAAAATGATCAAAGCCGACTGAATGAGGCGTGAAGTTCCTGGCGTTCTAACGAGGAGTGATCACTAGTGTGGTATATGAAGTTTAACGTGGGGGTAGCTGTCTATAAATGGCCTTGGCTGGAGGCGGCAATATATATGTAGCAAGTTGACTGAATTTTTAAGCCTTCATAGGTAATTGGATTCTGTCCAAATACCAGAATGGTCAACAGGCTTACATCGTAACCATAAGATCCTGGATTCGACCTCTAGTTTAATGATGACCGTGTGCCGATGAAGAGTCTCGATCTAGGACGAAACAGCTGTCACTTTGTGATCTTATTTCATTTCGAGAAATACATAACACCACTTGAGTTTAGTTAATTCTGAAGTTTAATACTATATGAAAAAGTAGTCAAGACGATGTAAAGTTTGCCGCGACTGGATTGATATGAAGAGTCACTCACCGACTATCATCCAGGTGGTGTCTGTCTAGTATTCCTTTCACTCGTAATAGTTCTGGATTAATGAGGATTTATGATTAAATCCACCATCATGATGGATGTCTTCAACCTAGGTTTCGTACACAAAAGAAAGGACTAGACATACTACACTAGTTACTAACTATTTTCCAGTTAGAAAAACTAGTAATTCTTTTACAGTCATAGGGGATTAAGTCCCGACCACAGAAATAAGTGCTGAAATCCCAATTTGTTTCAATTTTATAGCCATTATTATTATTACAATTCATACTGAGCAGTTAAAATATTTCCTAAGGAAAAACATAGGTGTTTTTGTTCAGCGGAGAAATTCTTTTTCTTTTCAAAGACTTCATTTTCAGCCTTTTGAGTTGTCGGTAAAAGGCATTGAGTGGCACTGGGAATTGCTCAGTCAACATTGCACATATGATAAGAATAAAGATAATTAAAATGCTGTATTAAGAGGATAGAGTTGAAGAGGATTAATTGACCTACAATCTTAAAGTCTTTATACCAGTCCGCTTCAAACGTCCACCTTCAATGTGCACCGTGATGGTGAGTTACATTGCAAACCTGACTGATAGAATTCAGTCTGCACCAAAGAAAGGACTAGACGCATAACACTAGTTACTAGTGTCCAATCAAAACCATCCATCAGGAGGTCAATCGCGAGCCCAAATAGCTCAGTGGTAACGTCTCTGACAGCAGCACTGGGTGACGCAGGTTCGAATCTCAGAGTGGACATGAGTTCCTTCAAGGTTGCAGATACGTCTTGCTGACTGGTGAGTGCCAACTAGCACGAAACCAAGGTCAAGGAAGGATTCCTGCCGATTGCCTCCAACCATCTAATATCATCAAATCGCTGTACACCGTGATGGCAAGCTACCTAGAATGGTGGCCACATTACAAACCTGACTAATAGAATTCAGTCTGCACCAAAGAAAGGACTAGCCGCATAACACTAGTTACTGACTAGTTTCCAATCAAATCTTTAAACGTTCTGTAATTCATCTACGTGACGCATGCACAAAGTCTCTGAATCATATAGTGGCACTAAGCTGACATTAGTGCTGAAGATTCAGACATTATTCCGTATGTTGAGTGTTGTAGATTTCCACTCTCATATATATATATATATATATATATATATATATATATAGTTCAAAGCAGAGTTCCACACAAACCGATATCAGTTAAAGAGTCACTATAAAACGCGATATCTTGATCAGATCTTTCACCTTAGCGTTTTTATCAATAAGCGCTGACATGTGAGATCTATCGCAGGACTTTCGACTTACTAGGTAAGTCTGTTAACCATTCAACAACTCCATTCGAAGATATAAGTCCTCAGTTCAACCCTTGAAAGCATAGTGAGTGAGTACCTCTCAAGAGTCCTAAGCTAGGACGAAACAGCTGGCCCATTACTCCACGATTTTCAGTGGTTCTTTAAGTGATGTATATTATTCATGTGACTTATTAACATTCAAGTCACTCAAATCCCTACAACTAGACGCATGTCTTTATGACTGCAATGAATATGGACAACTAGTAGACAAGGAATCGAAGGACACCAGAAGAAGTGGACTTCGCCGATGATGCATGTCTAATGTCTGTCATACAGACTTGGAAATCTAAAGGCTAAAGCCAACAACAGGCAGCGATAACATGACTTCAAGAAAGCATGAAGAAGACAGAGGATACCCGGTCACGAACAACAACATATATATATATAAATGTAACAAAATATACACATTAGATCATAGTTATCAACTAGGCTTTACATTCGTGTATTTATAGTTCACTTGCTCGTGTGGAGCCCAGTACAATGACCGTATCATGCATCGACCTACAGAACGCGCTCACTAACACTATCCAGCCTGAAAACATTTATTTCCCAATACGAATTTAAAACAAGTAACAAAGGTTAATAAAGCAGGATGAATTAATGAATTCATCAAATTTTGGTAGAACTCGTCAGCTGAATACTCTACATACACGGATACACATATACTACTGAAATTACATTGGGAGATATAAAACTCATAAGCAAATAAACTACATTGAATTAGTCATGCAGAGAGACAGGTGTGAATGTTTTCCAGGTCATGTTGAAATAGATAAGGAGAGAGAGAGTATGCGAGATCAAAATTAAGATAAAATG